GTTCACTAATTTACCTAAAATACTTTCTATACGGAGTATTCACTTAATTCCTTCTGCGTGTAGAATCATTCACAAAACTCCGGAAGTCAATCTTTTGTGAACATCTGGGATACGTGTGTCTTGTAATAATACAAGCTATATTGCATGGGAAGCCAGAATACATTTATTTAGTTTTTCCCGCTTCTTGGGCTATTTGGCGAAATGACCTCATTTAGTTTGCTAAGAGCCTGTCTGTTATCGTGTAAAAAAATCCCCATTTTCTGCTATAGGTGGTCTCTTGGTGAGTTCAGAATCGGCCATATAATCTGTTTCAATCATTTTCAGGCATAAAACTTAGTGAACAAATAGTAAACAGTTATATGAAGCCAGTAAAAGTTTCTGTCGAGAATGCGTCAAAAATTAAATTCAATCGCGACCTGACTCAGACTCAGTCCAGACTCATTATGCAGCACGGCCATTTGCACCCTTCTTAGAAACTTGTTATTCCAACCAATGATTGTAAATATGCACATATATATATATATATATATACATATAACGAAAATTAGATTGTTAGGGAAACACGAGCATGACATAGAAAAATCATAGTAAAGGCATGACTTAAAAGTGACATGATGGTGCCTAACATCTACATTTTAAAGATTTCTACAGAATTTATACGACAATACATTTATAGAACATCTTAAAGGTAAATTATGTATAATATATTAGATTATTTATACCCCGAATACATTTTTATTCAGAACCTCCTTTGGCTTATGTGTTTCAGCGAAAGACGGAATGAACAAGAACATAACGTATTCTTAACACAACCTGAAGATGCTGTGCCTGAAGATACACACATCATTATACAGTATGTTTGTTTTCTGTTTTATTATTATTGGTTTAAAAAGTACCTAAGGGTCATCACCGAATTAAATTTCACGTTACTTTCGAAAACAGGCATGCTCGTCCTTTCAGCCGTGGGGGCGTTATAATGTGACGGTCAATCCCACTATTCTTTGGTAAAATAATAGCCAAAGAGTTGGCAGTGGGTAGTGATGACTAGCTGCCTTCCCTCTAGTCTTACACTTCTAATTTATGGACGGCTAGCGCAGATAGCCCTCGTGTAGCTCTGCGCGAAATTCAAAACACATAACATTTTCGAAAAATACTTACAGTGCAAAATTTAGTGTGACATAAATCACTTTTCTGTCAAAATACAATAGCATTGGCTTATTGCATTTTTAAACACTACATTCTGTATTCCGTCTCTAATGGTTTTCTCAAAAGAAGAATGTATAAGTATTTCAATCACACTGCATCCGCCGTATTTCTGGGGCTCATTGGCTCCAACGTTAAGATATCGTAATATAAATCCCCCCACCCCCAATGTTTCAGTGGTAAGTCTGCAGACTTACGACGCTAAAATCTGGTTTCGTAATCCGTGGTGGGCACACCACAGCTAGCCTATTGTGTAACTTTGGGCTTAACAACAACTAAATCGTAATATGAAAATGAGCAACAAATGTTCACTGTTATAGACTACTGAATATTTTCATGTATACCTTTATTATAAACTGAAAAATAAAATAACGAATATTACTCCTCATTCAAAATGTTTTGCACAATACTGTGATTTCAAAGTTCCTGCACTATAAAGGTCAAATCCCACTATTAAGTGAGACAAAAGCAATCTAATAAGAGTGAGCAGTGGGTGCTGTTGACTAGCTGCTATTCCTCTGATCCAATGTTTCCTAACAGGCGGCCCACAGACCACATCAGGCCCTCTAAAAACTGATTGGTTGCCCATACTATGATCAGATATTGCAAAAGTAAATTAAACTGTATATGGAAAAACGATGCATTCACCGAAAAGCTCAGTCTTGGCCTTGACTCTATAGTCAACATTTGAAGTTGCTCAGTGATGAAAATAATTGGGGACCACTGCTCTAGTGTACCAGTTCAAAATTAAGGACAACTATATTTGCAAATATCCCTTTGTGAAGCTTTGCGCGAAAGCACTGAAATATACAAACAAATAATTTTTGGCAAAGAAGTAAGAAGGCGGGACTATAAAAAAAACAGTTGTTGTAAATTCAGCCTTACTCCAAGTTTTTAATAATCGTCCAAAACCTCTTAATCACGGAAGCTAATGATATCTTTAATCTGCACATTGCATTATAATTAAAACTGTTAAACCTGTTCAATCATAAATGTTTTATTCCACTAATTCGCACTTTGTTCAATTTGAAATTGGTTATTTGATAAAGTGAAAGCATTGCTATCCGTATTGATCAGCACGTTTGTTTTAGATTAATAACTTTTTGTGTACAAAAATTACTAGAGGGTTGCCATTAACATAGCGTTGAATTCTGAATTTCATAGAAATATTATGGTTAATAGGAATATATATACATAATTCACTGGTCTTGTGAAGCTTTTGTGCAAACCACAAATATGCATGGTGATAGATCAGTACTGCATCTCAACCAAGATGTTAAGATATTATATCTCAACCAAGATGTTAAGTGATCTACACAAAGTTAATGCCACTCTGACTTCTGACAAGTACATGACAATTATGATCCGCTACATCATTTCCTCAGCAAAACGACATATTGGGCGAAGTTCATCTTCCAGTATAGCAATGATTCCAAATGTGGTGAAACGATATCTTGATAGAACGTTCATAGCTATGGCTTGGCCCGTACAAAGTCCCAATATATACATTTTTGAGGCTATACGGGGTTATGTAAAAACCGAGAAGGTCAAAAGGTGGCCAAACAATTCGGCTGAACTGTGGGGGTTAATACGGTACACTTGGAACAGTATTCCGAGCTCTAAATGATCGTGGACACAAATTTTTGTTTAAACGCGAGAGAAAGTTACACACCCATTTTTATATATATACAGTAATGGACATAATTATCAAAACAGGAGTGATAAACATGTATAAAGAAATCACAAACAACTAATAATGACAAACAGATGGTACATGTATTAATAGTACAAAATATTTTCGCATATAAGCGAATACTTTTCACGTGAGCCCTTTGCTTAGCACAGAGCATTACACCTTGTTCTCTTGCTGCCATACAGTTTCTCAATGTATGATCGTTTAGGTCTGTGATACAATAAAACAAAAAATTTCTATTTATACTGGTTATACTACACTCATTTTTATTTTCGAATATCTACTGTTTATCAATTTACATTACCATATTTGAAATATATAAAACAGTTTAAGTGTTATTTACAAGTAACAGACTCGAGTTTACAGTACCATTTTGAGAAACTACAGAGAAACTGATTATTGCATCTCGTTTTTCATTGTGATGAATGCGTGCACGTATATGTATTATTATTATTATCATTTACAAACTAGAAGCACCAGATATATAAAATTATTCAGCCATCTTTTGTAACGATTAATGCAAAATTATCTGACCTACGGAATTCTGGGACAAGTTTTATTATAATTATATCATGGCCTTCCCTGTATGACAGATTTCTACTTAATATTTAGTATATGCTTTTTTATCATATTTTGCTCACACCCAGAATATTAACATAACAATACCATGGTTGTTACCAATGTTGCAAAATAAACACTGTTCCCTATACTATAAACTAAAAGTGTTCCACTTTCCCCTCTGTTATAAAATAGACATTCAGTGTTCCACTGTTCCCTCTGTTATAAAATAGACATTTCAGTGTTCCACTGTTCCCTATGCTATAAAATAAAACTGTTCCACTTTCCCCTCTGTTATAAAATAGACATTCAGAGTTCCAATGTTCCCTCTGTTATAAAATAAACATTTCAGTGTTCCACTGTTCCTTATGCTATAAACTAAAAGTGTTTCACTGTTCCCTCTGTTATAAAATAAACATTACCTGTTAGGAAGTATTTCAAAAAAAGATCTGTGAGTGTAAAATAGCAGTAAATTAATGCAAAGTTTGTAAATTTGGATTCGTTTCTTTTGTCTAAGAAATAAACTAAAGGTAGCGCATTAAACCAATTTTGAACTCGAGAACTTCTTAGCAAAGACTCAGAATGATTTTTACCGTTGTATAGAGGGCGGTAAAATAACAGGAGACGAATATTTTACGAGCGAAGCAGATAGGAATGAGAAAACAAAGATAATGCTTTTGTAAAAGCTATTCAGATATCTTTGAAAGCAGCTGAAGCGCAAGACGGAGATTTTGTAACTCAGGTATGCAGCAGCTGTCGTCAGGGTTACCGACAAATACATAGAAAGGTTCCTCTATATATGAAGATGTATGAGATGTTCGAAAGTGCAGATTTTATAACTTTCAAGTTAAAAATAAAGTTGACAGTTCGAGAGAATCGATATTTAATAACAAAATTCAGAAAGACTGAACATAAATAACTAGTTTAAAAATGATACGTCCAGTATTAAAAGAAATCCATTGTTGAAGGAAATTAAGGTTTCAACTGAAGTAAATTAAATCTTGTCATAATAAGTATGTTTTTAATAATCATGCTGTGTGAAATGTGTTCGGAAAATTTTATGGGAATGTGTTTAAGAAAAGACCTAGAGCTAAAACTTAAAGGCTGTTGTATAAGGTGTAAATATTATAGCCTTAAAAAGTAATGTTACAAGATCAAGAAACATGGCAAGCCATATTATTAGTGTGGTATGTTAACATAATGCTAATAATATGCAACATTATACTATTTTAGTTTATTAGGCTTCATGGTTATTGTTCAAAAGAAAATTAGAGCACGTTCTTATTTTTCGTTGTTGCTAGGCAACTTGTGATTCGAATTGTTCCGTTAGGTACTGTTGTTTACTAAATGTCTCGTATCTGTAGAAGGCTTAGGTAATTGAACCGAAAGCTTGTATATTAAAACAACTATAAAAAAGTGGTGATAGTCCAACTAAATTATTTAATACAAATTGAGTACTTTAGGGCAGTACACAACACAGCACATTGAACTTTTTAGCCTTTTTAAAAAGGCATTAGTTCATAATGAAGAGATATTACAACTTAACCTTTTGGACTCAGATCCATTTCGCCTAAATAAAAAGGGCCTTGACGTACAACAACCTCATGGGCGATTATTGCAAATGAATATACATCCCCTTTTTGCGTGCCCTCTGGTGTTGGATTAGACATTCTCAGTATCTCTGGCGCTGTCCATAGCTTTTCTGAATAGATAATAAAAAAATATATGACATATATATATAATTTTAAATAGCGATGTTTACTTCGGTAATTGGTGTTTTTATAGTAAAAAGATATAAATATTCCTATAAACGTTTAATGATGGCATTTCAAAAATAAACAATTTTTAAGAATAACAATAAAAAAGTATTTTAGAAAATATTAAAGCTTAAATTAATTAGAATTCAATAGAATTAAACTCTTTAAAAATTCAGAAAAAAATATTCATTCATAAACGCATATACTAGATTGAATTCTCTAATACAATTGAATAATTGAATTAGCTTACACCAAGTCATTATTAAGTATTAATACGGAAACGATGAGAGACATGGGAACCAATTTGTGGCGCACTTTTCAAATGCGTTTCCAACAATAGGTGGTTGTTCTTAAGAATTCCAGTATACGTTCTTATCAAAAATATTTTCAATAATTATTAATGATAAATAGTGAATCAATTTAAAATTTCAGTATAAACTTTTATCGTATAAACGTGATTATGACCTCATTACGTAAGTTCATTTCCAAAAAGAACGTAATTTCTTTATACATAAATATTCAGATTGAGAATAAGATTTTAAATACTTTGCTCAAAAAATATTTTCAGATTTTCTTTCATGTTATATTATTGAACATTCTTGACTTGAAAACCCCGGAAATTAATTTTGAAAATGATTAGATAAAGCTAAGAACGGGATAAACTTCAATATGACATCGTCCAATTTTTTTTTTCTTTCTAAATCGATTTCTAGCTTTAAATTAGGGGGAAAAAATGTCTTGGAACACTAAACACGACTTACTTCTCCAGTAGGCGTACGATTCTTCGTTTTCGTTTACGTCCGATGTTCTAAGAGCATGAAGCCCAATATCAGTGATCTTTAAGACAAACCTACTATCCACAACGCAGTTAGACGATTTCAAGTTGCCATGGGAACGGATCTCACTGTTATGAAGATAGGCCATTCCCTACATGGTTTAAAAACCAGAGTTTTGTCATAGATTTTCTAAGTCACTATTGGTTTCTGATGAGTTGTTCTTATATATTTCTTAAATTCTATTTTCAAGCTGATCACTTGATTTATTAACAAATAAGTCAAGTGATTTTCAGAAAAATGTATTTTACTATTATTTAACTAAAATTATAATCATAAAGTCTATAAAAATCTATCATTGAGAATCATTTGCGAACGAAATTCCCATTTAATAATAATAATAATATTACAGGCTCTATATATTTCAAGTAAGCTTTCAAATGACCAAACTATGAATGATCCTTATATTGCGTTCCTGCTGCTTAGATTAAAAGGATAGTGAATTAAAAATATACTGATTTTATTGAGCTTTTATATTTCAAATAATTGATAGTTTTTTTGAGTTAAATTGAAAGATTGAAATTAATATCTTAAAACGTATTTTCCACAAACATTTTATATAAAAAGTTTTTACTTTGGCCTGTAGTGAAAACCTTTGGGTTTGCTTTAGCGCAAAGCCACAATGAGCTATTTGCTCTGTCCACCGCGGGGAATTGAACCCCAGATTTTAGCGTTCTAAGTTCGTAGACTTAGCGTTGTCCCACCGAGGAACAAAAACTTTAGGAGAACTTTAACAAGCTGGAACTACACAGCTTCAATTCAAAAACAAACTGATCGTATATAGAAACTACACAACTTCAATTCAATAACAAACTGGTTGTCTATAGGAACTACACAGCTTCAATTCAATAACAAACTGGTCGTCTATAGGAACTACACAGCTTCAATTCAATAACAAACTGGCAATCTATAGGAACTACACAGCTTCAATTCAATAACAAACTGACAATCTATAAGATCTACACAGCTTCAATTCAATAACAAACTGGTTGTCTATAGGAACTACACAGCTTCAATTCAATAACAAACTGGCAATCTATAGGAACTACACAGCTTAAATTCAATAACAAACTGGCAATCTATAGGAACTACACAGCTTCAATTCAATAACAAACTGGTCGTCTATAGGAACTACACAGCTTCAATTCAATAACAAACTGGTCGTCTATAGGAACTACACAGCTTCAATTCAATAACAAACTGGTCGTCTATAGGAACTACACAGCTTCAATTCAATAACAAACTGGTCGTCTATAGGAACTACACAGCTTCAATTCAATAACAAACTGGTAGGCTAAAATTACGTATTATGTGAGAAATGTAAAAAAAAAAAAGAAAATGTATCTTATTATTCACTCATTTTTCGTAAAGAGTCTTATCTTCTTTATTGATTGTTACATGACATAATTATGAATTGAAGTGAACAGTGTGAGTTAGAAAGGTTTACTTATTTTGTGCCAGCCATTTACATCCGATTTACACATCTTTTACTTCTAGTTGATTATCCTTCAGACATATTTCTTAATATATTTTAAATGCTATTTATTTGTTACAAATAAAACAATTAACATATAGAAATTGTTGAAGTTTTTAAGGGTATGTATATACAGTACTGTGCAAATTTTCTAGATCATCCCATTGATCCTGTAGGTTTGATTTATTGTGGCTATGAAATTAAACCCTTCAGTTTAAAATGCTGGAAAATGCATCACAACTGATTTTCTCATTTTATACATAACTTTAATATGCTACACATTTGACTGATTTAAAATTTCAAGAGAAAAAACAACAATTAACCACTAGTGATTATGTGCAATAGGTTTTTAACAGTTGTTTAAGGTGCCTGAACTAAATAAATAGTAGTGCAACATTATTATACATAATTGTCTTTAGTTTCTGTACCAGTCATGACTGAAATGCTTTAAAAGTTTGTATTCTGAGTCTTTCATGCATGTAAAAATAGACATATAAAAATATTTTTAAAAACATTGCCCAATACAACGAATATAGTGTGGTGTTTTAAAAAATAAACTTAGTATTCCGAAAATTGTTTAATTTCGAAGTCTTCAAGAGGGGTCCAGTTCAATTTACACTTTGATCAATATGTGTTATTGGGTTATACTAGTTTTGGAGAATTCCACTCCTCATCAGTAACCCTGAACACAAGTTAAACAAAAAAAGAGATAAGCTGGATCTATATCACAGTGAGAAGTAATCGAACATACTGTTAGTGTGAACGTGCTTATAATAACTATGAGGAAAACCTAATACATTAGG